CATAGTATAGACATGCCCATAGTACAGCATTAGTCTGGCTAATTCTTCACAATTTCACAGGGACACAGTGAGCTTTCTTTCCTACTTGTAAAGCAAGTCCCAGATAACACACGCACTCCGCAAGAGCCAAAAGCATATTTGCTGTCCAAGGGGAACTAGCGGTGCTACAGTGAGGATTGTTCAAACATCTTTCTGAGTCAGAAAGTTAGGATTCTTCCATCCCTGGTGTGATTCTTCTACTGCTCTTTTCCTACAGGCCTGATGCAGAGGTGTTAGCAGATGTTGCCTGACAGCTGCTGCTGCATGCTCAAATTTTTTTTCTAAGCAACTAACAAACAGCTACAGATTGTAGTTTTTCAGACTTCGGGCCCGTAAATTCCTTTTATTCCAGTTGCATTCAGGCTACACCTGTCTGCAATTTATCCCCCCAAGTTTTGTAACTGCTTACAAAGCATCTTAATCCCTATGTGCGCTTTCAGCAATACCATTCAGCTTTGCTTTCTCATTCAGTTTCCCTAGCTGCACCTCCAGCACTCTAAGGGAGTTTGTTTGCTCCCCCTGCTGTGACACAGGCAGCCGCTGTACACTTGACCTTAAAAGCTCCAAGATGAGATAGTGTATATGCTTGTACTTTGGGCTGGGATGAGATCCTTAGCTTGAGGAGACAGTCCAGTGCTACCTTGAACCCACGGCAGTGAAACTGATAGCAGGGGCTGGCTGCCTGAATACAGCCTAGCGCCTTAATGTAAGTGGCTGGCTTGGTCTGCCGTTTGCACTGCAGTGGTTATATTTTATTTTCTGGGCACTTTCTTAACTACAGCCAAAATAGGTTGAACCTCTCCAGTCTGGCATCCTCAGGACCTGACTGGTGCCAAACCAGAGAATTTCCCAGACCACGGGAGGTCAGTATCGTCTAGCAGCCTTTCCCATATTTCCACTACTTACTGGGCTCTTAGAAGAGATTTAGGGGTAAAATTAGAGCTAAATGACAGCACAGAACACAGAGTCAAGACCGGGGGCTGTAAACAAACTTTATGGGACCATAGGAAACTTGGCCACAACTAAAATCATGCTGGACCATGGATATTGCCGGACTAGAGAGGGTCAACCTGTACAAATATGACCATGGAATCACACTCCAGAACCACGTGTAGGCAAACCCTTAGTCACCTCAAGAGTTTTTAATTCTCTCTCCCCAACTTCATGTTTTCCCAACTTATATTCCCGTACAGTGTTCAGGCTACATCTACACTTCTGCGGGGATGTATGCTCTGAAATCGATCCACTAGTGGTTGATTTAGCAGGTCTAGTGAAGAAATGGCAAATCGACCGCAGATTGCTTTCTGGCTGACTCTGTTATTCTACCCCAGATGAGTAAGTAAAGTCAATGGAAGAGTTTCTCTTGTCAACCCATTGTGGTGTAGAGCCCACGGTAACTGGATTTAAAATACATTGACTCCAGCTACATTGTTCACGTAGCTAGAGCTGTGTAGCTTAACTTGACTTTCTGCTGGAGTGTAGATTCAGCCTCAGTCCTTGTATTCTGGGGCTGGGTCTGCCAGAGACTCAAAAACTAAAAAAGCGGCGAGGAGTCCTGTGGCACCTTATAGACTAACCAAAAGTGTTGGAGCATAAGCTTTTGTGGTCAAAGACCCACTTCATCAGATGCATGTAGTGGAAATTTCCAGAGGCGCATAGGGTCCCGGCATTGGTCGCACTTCTTAAAGCCTGAGGAGGCGGACATGTCCGGTTCTCTCCTCTTTAAGCTTTTTTTTTTGTATTTATTTTAGTGTTCCATTCACAGTCTTTGTTTAATCCTGGTTTCTTTCACCACAGAACACCACTGGCCATCACCTACAGTCCTCAGCTAAAACCTCTCCAATGCATCATTAGTGATCTACAACCCATCCTGGACAATGATCCCTCGCTTTCATAGGCCTTGGGAGGTAGGCCAGTCCTCGCCCACAGACAACCCGCCAACCTGAAGCATATTCTCACCAGCAACTATACACCGCACCATAATAACTCTAACTCAGGAACCAATCCAAGCAACAAATCTCAGTGCCAACTCTGCCCACATATATACACCAGCAACACCATCACAGGACCTAACCAGATCATCCATACTGTCACTGGTTCATTCTCCTGCACATCCACTAACGTAACATATGCCATCATGTGCCAACAATGCCCCACTGCTGTATACATCGGCCAAACTGGACAGTTCCTGCGTAAAAGAATCAATGGACAAATCAGATATTAGGAATGGCAACATACAAAAACCTGTAGGGGAACACTTCAATCTCCCTGGACACACAATTGCAGATCTAAAGGTAGCCATCCTGCAGCAAAAAAACTTCAGGACCAGACTTCAAAGAGAAACTGCTGAGCTACAGTTCATCTTCAAGTTTGACACAATCAACTCCGGATTAAACAAAGACTGTGAATGGCTCGCTAACTACAAAAGCAGCTTCTCCTCTCTTGGAATTCACACCTCCAGATCAGCTACTAGAAGTGGGCCTCATCCTCCCTGATTGGATCCATCTCCTCATCTCCAGCCTGATTCTGGCCTGCATATTTATACCTGCCTCTGGAAATTTCCACTACATGCATCTGATGAAGTGGGTCTTTGCCCACGAAAGCGTATGCTCCAACATTTTGGTTAGTCTATAAGGTGCCACAGGACTCTTCGCCGCTTTTGCGGATTGAGACTAACACGGCTACCCCTCTGATACAAGTCAAACCAAAGGGAGCAACTTGCATTTTTCCTGAGCTAATTCTCACAGCATGAATACAGCTGTGCAAATGTCCGATGAGACTCCCTTGCCAGTCCCACTGCTCCTTTAGACTGCCACAATCACCACCGCTCATTTTAAGTCAGCTGGCAGCATTACAATACCAGAAATCCACTGTGAGGACACTGATCCCCAGAATATAGTGTTCCTTAAACTTTACAAGCTCTGTTGTTTCAACCAATATTTTCTTACAAGATGGTTTAATTTTAAAGGGGAATTGCAGAGTCCAGTATTCATTTTCCCAGGTGCAGTAATATCCAAGTCTGAATCCATACAGTTTTTTTTCCCCAACCAGTGCTTCTTAACGTCGCAGCCTGTGCAAGTTCAGAAACAACTATGCTCCCCATTTTACAGTGCAGCTCAATGCACGGTCAATCCAAATACAAAATCTTTTATGCAACCTTATCGAGGTTAGGGCAGCAGCAGAAGAGGATTCGGGCCAGGTCTACATGCCAAAGTTAAGTCGAGCAGCTGTGTCACTCAGGATGTGAAAGATCCACACATTTGAGTGACAGTTCCGGTGACCTGATGCGCAGGGTAGACAGTGCCAGGTCCTTTCATCAACCTAGCTACTGCCTCTTGGGAAGCAGGGATGTAAAATCCCATGTTAATAAGTTCAACTACAGATTTAACCGGTTAACCACCCATGACATCATGGATGAGGGGGCACTGGAGCAGCCCCCTGCTTTGTCTAGACATGGATGGGATGGTCAGGGCCCGCTGCACCATGCTGATGGTAGGGGGCTGCTCTGGCCTGGCTGAAGCACCGCACTGCGGTGGGCAGGGCCCAACCAGGCTGGGCAGGACCTGTCAACACTGCCTGGTTAACCGGTTATTCCAGTAAGCATTCTGGCAAAACTAGTCTTACCAGTTCACTGGTTAACTCTTTACATCCCGAGTGGGAAGGGATATTAACTATGGTGATAGAGAACTCCTCCCATCACTGGAGCAAGAGGCTAGTCTGCTGCACTACAGCGGGGTAGCTATCTGGGCTGCTGGAGCATTTCACGCATACGTTAGCTCTGAGCCCTAGTTCTCACGCAGCCTGGCCTTCTTCCAGACCAGAGCAGGAACTACCGAAAAATGCCCTCAGTTGCATCCTTGGCAGGTTGGTACTGGCCATTCCTGGTAACGCTGCCATTGGCAGCACATTGTCCAGCGTACACTGGGAAAATGCTCACAGTCTGGTCATGTAAAAAAAACCACCCAAATCTACCACAGACAGAGGCACAATAAAGGTACAGTGGCCTGAACAACCTGTCAAGGGGAGGAATAGAAACCAGCTCGATTAAGAAAACCTCAGTTCTGCAAGGATGGGTCATCTGTCCACCCGAGAGAGAGAATGCACACACACACACACACACACGCACGCACTGGTTTCCATCTCAGAGACACAAAGCAAGGCAAAACTGGTGGGGAGAGGGGAGGGACGGGAAGGAAAACTAAGAACAACTGAATGATTTATTTCAGCCAGGGGATCAGAAAGCAGAGGGGTTTAGCTATGCTGGGTTCAGCTCCTCCCCTGTCAGTGTTCCCCCCACTCCACCCCCATCAGAATGCCAAGCCCTGGCAGAAACTCAAGGCATAAGTGCATAATTTGTTAAGTTTCTACAGCTTTCCTGACATCGCGGCTGGCATTCATGGCTACACCCACCATCTAATGCTGGAACAGGACATAAGGGGTGGGAGGTGTGCACGCACCCACGTGGATAAATGACACGGGGGTAGGAGGAGGGGTGGCCCCACCATCCATATCAAGGGAAAGCTCCCTGTTGGAGAGACTGGAAAAAGCTCAGTGAACATCCACTGCACGGCAGGGAAATCCAGGCAAGTCCATTGAGCAAAGTTTGGAAGCAAACGACAGAATTCGCTGAGCCCCAAATCATAAGGACCCAGGTGTAAACTACTTCCCCTTCAATTTAAAGTAAAAGGCCCTTCAGAAGCAGACCGGTTCCTTCTGATGCCAGCAGATAAAAGCTCTGGGGTGACTCTCAACCCTGTCGGCAGAATGAAAAGGGCAAATTTTCATTCCTCTTTGGTCAACATCCTGGGACGAAACATGGGACGTGACAGAGAGGGAGAGCGAAAGAGAAGGGAGGCGCAGAGCGAGACAGTGTGAAGCACAGACTCTGCGACAGCCACTCACAGATCGTCAGGGCACCGAAAGACCTGGGAACAAAGACAAAGGGGAGGTTTGACTCTTACCCTGCAGTGCTTCTTTGGCTCGCGCTAGCTCTTGCTCCTTCTGCGCCAGTTGGAGTTTCAGCTCAGTAGCGGAGAGGACCTCTGTCGACTTGCTGCCATGCGTCTCCTCCAGCTCTTTTGTTAGCATTTCCTTCATTTGCCGGAGCAGGTGAACCTCCTCCTGGAGCTGGGACACTTCTTCTCGTAACAGCACTGGAGGAAGAGAGAACACAATTCGAGGAAGTGACTAGCAGCTCTGGCAAGTTTTCAGTCGCTCAGGCAGTCAGACAACAGAAACCCAGGTGATAAAAAAAAATAGCCGAGTGCTGGCTTTGCTTGTGCAACTCTCAAGCCTCTGCAATTCCCGAGTAGGGCCCACCGCTGCACCCTCAGTTAAGGATTTCATCATTCTTAGGTACATGGTGCTGTGGCAGGGAAGGCAGTTTTACTGCCCACAGAAAAATGTCATTCTAGCAAGAAGTGAGATTGCAAACTGCACTTTAAAAAACACTGAAGATATTCTCAACGGTCACATGGGGGCTACTCAAAATGTTTTCAAGTGTGGTTAGGGTTGCCAGATGGTTTCAACAAAAATACTGCCCCCCCCCCAAAAAAAAACCCCCCGGGGAAAAAATTTGGTGGGGGGGGGAGGGGGGGGTGAAGAGAGAGACCAAAAATAAAACAAAACAAAACAGCATGGCCCCTTTAATTGCGTGCAGATTCAGAGAAGAGGTAGAACACTAAGACCCAGGAAAGGCATTGCTTCCCCTTGCTCAGGTCTTTAGGTTTTTTGCCAGTGGCCATCTTGTTTTCTTGGTCGAGCCAGAAGGGAGCTTCCCTGCAGAACCAGGTAAGTGGGGGGTCCGGAGGCTTGGGGGAGGCGGGCCGGGGGCTGGGCCCAGTTGCTGAGTGTGTCATAGGGTTGCCAGGTGTCCGGTATTTTTTGCCTCCTGGTGGGGGGAGGGGGGGAGAGAGAACAGAAAATACTGGGCATTTTAGGTGTCCGGTATTTTCTGAATTTTTTTTTTTATAGGACAGGAGGTGAAAATACTGGATTGTCCGGGTCAATACCGGACACCTGGCAACCCTAAGTGTGGTGGACTGATCACACCCCAACATCAGAATTTTTCAGAGGAGGGATGGAGCCTATAGAAGGCTGTAAAAAACGCAGTGTAGCCGTTTATTTTGAGAACAAACCCTTCTTTTGAAATAAACCTCATTTTATAAGGAATAATGGTTAACAGTTATTTCGAAAGAAGGGTTTGTTCTCAAAATAACTGCGTCTTCAAAGCATTTATTTCGAAATAGGGTATTTCAAAAAAGCGGCTGGGATGTGATTATGTAAATGAAGCATGGAAAATTCAAATCCGCGCTTCATTTGCAATTTCGCTCAGCTGCATTTGCATTCGTCTTTCGAAAGAGGAATGCAGTGTAGACAAACTCAGTCAAGGTAACAGAGATGAAGAATCCTCCATAGCCCATTTACAAAATATGCATCTTTTAAGAGACATGAGAAGCCATTACTACAAACTACTGTAAACGGATGTACTTGGGACTGGGACCAGGCCAAATACAGCTTGCCAGAGTGCTAGAGCACACCAATTGTCATAAATATCGCAAGGGTATATGCAAGTGAGGGAGAATGAGCTTCATACATCACTAGGTTAAAGTGATATACTGCAACAGATGTGTTCTTTGGCTGAATAATGGAATCCCAGACAATACTGTGAGGGGCTAGTTTCTGAACCATTATCACAGCAGTATGGAGCGAGAACAGCAAAGATGCTTACTGCTGTTTTAAAAGGGTGTGTGATACAAGAGAGGACTCAAATCACTGCTGGTTGCAAATGAAATATTTAGAGACACGGCACTCAGAAATGCATTACGTTCGCCTGTACGTAGGATCTGCTTGCCTTCACTTGCCATTGTCCTTACACCACTGGGGCTTTTCCCATGTAAAAGTCTTTGACAACCTTTGTAAATATCACTAAAAATAAAGGGAGTAAATAATTCCTCCAAACAAGCAGCAGAATTTTCAACAGGGCATGATTTCAAACTCCCGGTTGCCTCTGGGCCAG